TTTTTTTGAGGCAGAGTCTCGATCTGTAGCCCAGGCTAGAGTGCATTGGTGCAATCTCTGCTCACTGCAACCTCCGCTTCCCGGGTCCTGGTTCAAGCAGTTCTCCTGCCTCAACCTCCTGAGTAGCTGGGATCACAGGTGCACACCACCATGCCCGGCTAACTTTTGTATTTTTAGTAGAGACGGGGTTTCACCAGCCAGGCTGGTCTTGAACTCCTGATCTTGTGATCCGCCCGCCTCAGTGTCCCAAAGTGCTGGGATTACAGGCATAAATCACCGCACCCGGACACCTCCTTGTTCTTTTAAAAATCTCCCATGTGGTTCTGTACATTTCTGTTTGAAAACCACTGCTAGAGAAGTTGCTAAATAGTAAAAGCATTTAGCCCATGGTGATATGGGGAAGGGAGGCATTTCATTTAAAATTTTGAAGAATTTATGCATCGTTTAATATTTCATGTGTGATATATAGATAAAATTAGTATATTTACATAAACAATTGTCTTTTATTAAGTGACAGCAGGTATGAATTTAAAAAGAATGGACATTGAAAAAGAACAGTTACAGTTTGAATGACATACTGGTTGAGTACTCAGTATATTTGCATTAAAATTTAGGATATAATTTTGTCTTTCCCAGTTGGAGTCATTCGATGCCCAGTTTGCAGCCAAGAATGTGCAGAGAGACACATCATAGATAACTTTTTTGTGAAGGACACTACTGAGGTTCCCAGCAGTACAGTAGAAAAGTCAAATCAGGTAAGTATGTTACATCTTGAACCTTTTGCCAACTTTTTAAAAATTGAGATTGGGTCTTGCTTTGTCACCCAGGCTGGAGTGCAGCGGTGTGACCTCTGCTTCCTGGGTTTAAGTGATTCTCTCATCTCAGCCTTGTGAGTATCTGGGATTACAGGCATGCGCCACAACACCCAGCTAATTTTTGCATTTTTACTAGAGATGGGGTTTCACGATGTTGGCCAGGCTGGTCTTGAACTTCTGACCTCGAGTGATCCACCCGCCTTGGCCTCCCAAAGTGCTGGGATTACAGTTGTGAGTCACCATGCCTGGCCTCTTTTGTCAACTATTGATGGGGTAACATAAAATGCTAGAGGTCTCTAAAGTAAAAGGAATCAAACATTAGATAGTTCATCTATAAAATTATGTATTATTTTGAAAGGTATATGAAGAATAATGAATAATTCACCTTAAGAAATAAAACAGTGACAGTACAGAAGCTCTTGATTGCGTTACCCACATTCCAGTCTCCAGAGAAACTATTGTTTTATATTTGATATTATTTCATTTCTTTGTACTTTTACTAGGCATTGACAATTAGATTTTTATTTAAAGCTCAGTTCTCACTTTTTTTCTATTTTAATGATAAGCTCTGTAATGATACATATGAAAGACACCATGTCTTCGATCAGTAGGGTTTTTACATTTTTAAGAAAGCCTTCTTTTCTACATGGTGTTACTTTGAAAGCTTCATTTGTGTTTTGGGGTTTGTTGTTGTCGTTGTTGTTTGTTGTTCTCATTGTTGTAGAGACAGGGTCTCACTCTGTTGCCCAGTCTGAAGTGCAGTGATGTAGTCATAGCTCACTGCATTCTTCAACTCCTGGGCTCCAGTGATTCTCACACCTTAGCTTCCTGAGTCACTGGAACTACAAGCTCATGCTGCCATGCCCAGCTAACTAATGCCTCATTTGGTAGCATTGTCCAAGGTTTTGGATTTAGAGATCCAGTGGTGTTTTTCTCTTCTTTCTGACTTCTATAACCCATATATAGAACATTTCTGTTGGCTTCTTAAATCTAGATGTCAGATCTATCATGCATAATCTATATAGTGCTCCAGTGGGGATTAGCCATGTTGAGATTAATTCTACAGCTTGTGCTAAGTATAGTGTATTAGTCTGCTTTTGGATCATGATTCATTGATGATTCCTCTAGGCAGTTCCCTTAATTTGGAATGGAAGATCTGGGAAAGAACTAAATCTGGTTAGGAAAAAATGATTATTAGCTATGTTTATCAGGACTCTTTAGTAATCACGTGGTTAATTGCTGTACTTTTTGTTGAATTTTCAGTTTAATGTTCATGGGGAGAACTGAATGAATTTAAGGTTCACTTTGAATGAACATAGCCACTACTGACTAAAATACATCTTTTTGTAGCTTGGAAAGTATCCACAATTCTTCCGGATTTGAACCTTATCAAAGGCCAAAACAGAGCTTGCAGCAGGAGATAAACTTTCTAATTGTGTAATTGTGAAACCACCCTTAAAGAAAGAAACATAATTATTTATGTGGGCTACAGTGTTGAGCACTTAAGTCCTCTGAAAGTTCTCTTTTGAATACAAATGATTTTGTTTCTGTCTTCCATTGTGTCATGTCACTTTGCTTTACGTGTGATTGTAGCTATACTATTCATTAGATTCATAGTAGTACATGTGCATGCTTAATCCAGAAAACTCAAAAATACAGTAGCATAAGTAATCCTCAAATGTAAAGTAGCATAAATAAATGTCAACCAGATAGAATATTTATATGACATGAAATGATAACAGGACATGAGAGTTAAAGGGATTCTAATCCAAAGGACAAGTTTAAGAGGCTGCTTTATACCTCCATATGATCAATTAGTTGTCAGTACATTTATGTTTATTTCGTCTGCTTCTGTCACAGAAACATAGTAGGAAGAAGTTAAACTAGAGATGGAGTCCAATATACATACTATATATTGATACTGGGCGTGCATGCGTTTGGGGTATGAAATGTGGTATGAGAATAGGGTGCTGCTGGAGGCATTTGGTGAGGATGGCGACTGGAGAGGTTATATGGAGGATGAATTGGAACCAAGAGGTACTTAGCAAGAGGTAGTGAGAGCTGAATTAGCATGGTAACAATAAGGAAAGGAAGTTATCACCCACAGAGAACTTGATAATCCTGACTGGGTGTGGAAGCTCAGAGATGTTTTACTGCCTGGATGGTGCCTTTCACAGAGATCATGATAAAGAGGGTGGGAGGTAGGTCGAGGTAATACATCAGTTTTGGATGTGATTGAGTTTGCATTGCCTATGAGATTGTAAAGCAGAGCTGTCATCCATGGTTAGAGTGGAGCTCTGAAGAGAGTTCATAGCTGGAGATTTTGAAAAGTTTTAAAACTTCTATCTTTGTTGTAGATAATTTCAAGCATTACCAAAGAAACAATTGATATAACAAACTCCCATAGACCCATCACTTAAATCAATAGTCATCAACTCTTGTTTTGTGCATACCCTGATACTACATCCCCAGCCACTAGTTTACATTGACGTTAATTCCAACCATTAATATAATTTCATCTCTAACTTTTTTTTTTTTTTTTCTTTTCCGAGATGCGAGTTTTGCTCTTATTGCCTTTTCCGAGATGCGAGTTTTGCTCTTATTGCCCAGGCTGGAGTGCAATGGCGTGATCTCCGCTCACCGCAACCTCTGCCTCCCAGAGGTTCAAGTGATTATCCTGCCCCAGCCTCCTGAGTAGCTGGGTTTACAGGCTCCCACCACCACACCTGGCTAATTTTTGTATTTTTAGTAGAGACAGGGTTTCACCATGTTGCCCAAACTGGTCACGAACTCCTGACCTCAGGTGATCCAGCCACCTCAGCCTCCCAAAGTGCTGGGATTACAGGTGTGAGCCACCGTGCCCAGCCTCAACTGTAAATATTTTGGTATGTACTTCAATAAAATATTTTTTTTTCTGTAAACATAACCACCATATCAATTTCCTATATAAAAAATAAAAGAACCAGCCTGGGCAACATGGTGAAACCTTGTCTGAATGAATGAATGGATGGGATGAATGGATGAATAAACAAGAAAGAAAAGCAAGCATATAGGCGTGGTGGTGTGCACCTGTAGTCCCAGCTAGTTAGGAGATGAGGTTGGAGGATCACCTGTGCTCAAGGAGATGGACGCTGCAGCGAGACTTAATCATGCCACTGCACTCCAGCCTGAGTGACAGAGTGAGACCCTATCTCAAAAAAAAAAAAAAAAATTTTTTTTTTAAATGCTTAGTGATCTCTTAATATTACCAAATATCTAAGCAGTAATCAAATGGCTCTAATTATTATAGGTCTTTTTTTTTTTTAAACAATGGTTTGTTTCTATAAGAATCTAACAAGGCCTACACAGTACATTTGGTTGATTTGTCTCAAACCTTTGCTTCTCTTGCTTTTCTTTTCTTCCTGTTTAACATTTTTGTTGCATAAACTGGGTTGCATGTTCAATAGAGTTAGCTTTATTCTGAATTTTGCTGTTAATTTCCATAAAGTCATATAACATGCTGATTCTATATTTTGTGAAATTTTGAATAAAAATACAGTGGCTTGTTTAGATTCTGGTTCCATTAGAGGAAAAGGGTAAGACTACTTTGATCTGTATGTCCACATCAGGAGGCATATGGTATCTGGGTTTGTCTTTTTTTTTTCTGATGTTAATGGCCATTGATGATCACTGCCAAGATCCCATATGTTTCATTAGGGTTTTGAAAAATAGTGACATTTTTATTCTATTATTCCTCTTTATTTCTTAACTGGAATAGAAATCAAAAGCTTCCTTCAATTTTTTGATTACTCTGAACTATAGTTCATCCAGGAAAGGTAAGTTCAATTTTGATTCCTTCTCTCTAGTTGCCAATTTTTAGAGCAGTGAGTTAATTTCTTAGCATTCTTCAGAAGGTGACTAATTGGGGGCAGTGCGGGGAGAGAGAGAGATTGTATGTGTAAGTGTGTGTGTAAGTGTGTGTGTATCCCTCTGTTTGAGTCTGCAGTAGTCATTACTATCTCCCTTGCTTTTTTTTCTGACATTTTCTGTTCTAGACCTTGAAGCAGCCATTTCTCCTAGGTGCTTTGATTCCTTTTTGTGGGAAATGATGTTTGGAGACCACAGTATGGTATGGTGGGTGCTCATCATCACTGAGTTGATCACCTACCTAGGCCTTCAGGGCCTAACAGACTTTATTTATAAAAGAAAATACAAGTATATATTGATATTTTAAAGTCAAATTTGGAATCGTAGAGTTTTGCTTTTTTGATTTTATATTTGTATCTCTTCTATACTAGAAATGTTGGTTCTTTATTATTTTTTTTCCCACTCTGTCACCCAGGTTGGAGTGTAGTGGCTTGATCTTGGCTCACTGTAACTTCAGCCTCCCTAGTAGTTGGAATTACAGGTGGCGACCTCCATGCCTGGCTAATTTTTATATTTTTAGTACAGGCGGGTTTTTACCATGTTAGCCAGGCTGGTCTCGAACTCCTAACCACAAATCATCCGCCCTCCTCAGCCTCCCAAAGTGCTGGGATTACAGGTGTGAGCCATTGCGCCCAGCAGAAATATTGGTTATTAATTGCACTGATGTAATTTATTTTCTCTAGGAAAAAAAGTTTATATTTATGTATAATATATATGTAATATGGGTGGGCACAGTGGCTCACGCCTGTTATCCCAGCACTTTGGGAGGCCGAGGTGGGCGGATCACTTGATATGAGGAGT